TGGTCAGTGATATTTTCTTTTTCTTCTCCACTCTTGTCTTCGTCCGAGTCATCTTCATCGCTGTCGAGATCATTTTGTTTTGCTTCTGCTGCCCTCTTAGCTGCTAAATAATCTTAATGAAAGCCGTAGTGCCAATTATCTCAAACTTTTATTCTGAGATGTTTCTCACACGAAAACACCATGTCATCTGTGTGCTCAATTTGAAAATGGTAAATTAGCTACAAAAAGGTTATTCGACTCCAAAACAGGCAAAACTTTCAAAACTTAATTCTTTTGAAAATTAAAGTTCGTACACCAGTCTCCAACAAATCTTCATTAACCAACAAAATTTGATAAAGCATGAGCTTAATTTTAAATATACCCATAAGATGCCAACAATGTTGACCCATAACGAGAAAAACCTATACACTAAACTAAAATCCCAAATATTTCTTTGCTCTATCCGGTATTGTATCTGGATTAACGTTCAAGTCTATAAAAATGATCAACACAACAGCAATCGCCGTCAAGACGAGCAGAAATATCGACCGGCGCCATATCACAAACGCAGTGATCAGAGCCAAACTTGTCATTGCAATTCCTTTCAGCAACTTGTCAGGAGGAATCAACGTTCGATATGGTTTCGCTGGAAACTTTTCTAACTTATTTCAAGAATTTGTATAGTATTTAATTACTAATCTACTTATTATGCAAACTAATTGAAATATTAACAATTTTGAAGACATAGTTTCCTAATGAACAGTCAAAAAATAGCAATTATTTTGTTGAAAAGCCGTCTTGAGAAGAGTTTCAAAAGTAGCTATGCGAGGAATAATTCTTATATACTTCACAAAGATAAAATGCAATCTTTCTCAGATTCCAGAGCATGCACATTAATTAAGATAGGATTAACATATTAGCTTTTTGGTGCACAAAACAATTAACCAATAAAGATGGATTGATACTATGAAAAACCCTTTACCAAATTGAAAATGAGTTCCCAATTAGGAAAGTATCGGATGGAGAACTTTCTTTGTGAGTGATAATAATTAAAAATATTCTCAGGGTTTTCCACTGCAAACTCCTTCAAGCAAGAAAATTCATATCTCTTCAAATCGGACACTAACCTTCCACATCCAACACACAATAGGCGCCCTCACGCTTATAGCCGTCGACACAATCACATCTATATGAACCCGGGAGATTCACGCAGTTTTCGTGATCATTCGGGCATGTTGTCTTCAATGCACATTCGTCTATATCTGCAAAAAAGCCAACACATAGATATCTGAAGCTACAAAAAGCCAACGATAGAAGGGATCCTACCTACACAACCTTCTGCAGTTTCGTTGTAACCATTTTTGCATTTCCTACACCCTTTCGGCCCTGGTTCCGAACATCCGCCAGCGCAACCTTCGAAGCACTCTTGAATGAGAATGAATAAGATGACAAACCCAACAATTGGCAGACAGCGCATAGCAATACTATTAGACCAGCGAATATAGTGAAAACTTACTCTCGCATTCAATAGTTGTCTCGGTTTTTGACTTCTCGAAGTAATCCGCGGCGCACTTTCTGCACAGATTGCCGGTATAACCAGCATCGCAAACACATTTCCCTGTTCCATACCTTCTACTGTCTCCCTGAAAGGAGTCCCAAATTTAGA